TGTGGTTAAGGAAAGCCACTTGAAGTGGCGACTCTTCTCTTACAGTACGAAAGCCGCCACTTCAAGTGGTGCCTCTTCGCTTCCAGTACAAAAGCCGCCACTTCAAGTGGCGGCTCTTCTCTTACAGTACCCCCACATCAGCTTATTCAACCGAAAAAACAAAAAAAAAACTGCTCAGTATTGTACAATCAACTCAGAAACATCAAACAATTGCTATTTATAGCCAATATAAAGCACTAAAAAACAAAACATATCTGAGACACAAAACGAGTTAATGAACTACATTGGATCACAATACTAGAAATATCACATAAAGTTGATAATAAGCCCAATGTTTCAAAAAATAATTTGATCAGCTAGTTCATGTTTAACACAATAATGTTAAGTACAAATATCACAATTCAACGTCATCATCATCATAAAAGCTCATGTGGTTGTGCTTGTGTCTAAGGTCGGGGGCGTCTGCGTTGATTGCTTGTGCCACGTACACGGATTGCTGGGAGTACGGCCACAACCTGAGACAGATATTCGGGGTCCGCCTTGAGGATGCCTTGGTTGAGACATCATTTTACTGCTTTACCTGCTGATGCTGATGATGTTGTTGTGCAGCAGTGCGCGAGAGCATACTACATATTGTGCACTAATGGGAGTCTCTACATTTGCGGAAAAAAGCGGTAATGAGGTGCAGGTTCATTACTTACCCCTTCCGGAGACTTTTGATTTAGCAGCGCGCCAGCGCTATATAGTTAGGGAAGTGCGACTTTAGCATACCTATATCGGCAGTTGTGTTGAGGTTGTCATTGTGACGGTGGCGAGATGCGTGGTTTTTTATTGCTCATACAACTATGGTCATGGGAGCACATTCATATTGGTAGACCTGTGATACTACGATATCATAGATGGTGGTCCTCTTCATGATGCTTTGGATCTGCACGATCGATTTGTACTTGGACCACATCATGTCTGTGGTGAGGACCCTTTGGGTCGTAGGTGCATTTATGAATTTTGTTTAATTTTTTATTTTATTTTATGTATGCCGTACTGGAATCCATTTTATATTCCTGTACATTACCGTGTGTCAGATGGCTTTTTGCTAACGTCAATCGCGTGTCATCCTCTGCTGGATTGGGGTACTATCAAGATGCATTAGATGACATGTGTGATGATCAGGTATACCTTGTATATCATTAATTACAACCACTTTGTTTTAGGTTTTTATAAACAATGATGTCATAATATTTTGTATTATAGATGACGTGGATGCCAATCATGCCATACACTCATGAGATTCTAGGACATTTGCCTCCTATTGGCCGAGAGAACACTGAGACATGGCGAACACGTGTGCCCTTGATTTATTTTGATGTAATGGAGCATCACTTTCCTGATCGTGTACTATGACAGTTCGGGTTACAACAAGGTATTCATTTACCTGGTGATACTTCTGTGGACTTACACAAGATCGACAGGCGAGAGAAGCACACCGAAGATTGAGGGATGCACCATATTCAGTATATCATCATGTGGGATGAAGGAGCGGCATATATAGTGGACGGGACCCCATCGATCGATCAGTAGTCCCCACAGTATCTGCAGATTACATGAGATGGTATCACACTATCACACGTGTGTTCATCTCTCCCGGTTTTCGTCTACCCACCAATCACTACCAGCCTAGCTCAGTTTCTCTTCATTTGACGATACACAATATATTCACATGAATGACTTTATTTATTTATTTATTTATTTATTTATTCATTCACTAGTGTGTGTAATTTTATTTTCTTGTTCGTGTGGTAGAAATTATTGAAAATGATGAATGTGAAATTATCACCTTTTGTAATTAATTTTATATGCTTTTTGGGGTTAATTTTATGCTTGTTGGTATTAAAAAAATGATCAATTTATAAATCCGTCGCAATGATTCTTTCTGAATTAATGATTGTATCTGTCATCGGATTAAATTTAAATAAATATGTATTTGCATCTGACTTTATCTTATGAAGGTTAGTACGGTTGATGCTTATTTTCATGTTTTAATTCAGCATAATAACTTTGACATTGTATGATGAATTATGTTATCGATCAAACAAATTATGTTAATATTCATTTTATGGATGAATGGGGAGAATTAGGTAAGTCTATTTGGTCTTTTATTTCATTTGAGTAAGTCTATTTTGTCTTTTCTTTCATTTGAGAATGTGGTTAGTAAAATAATTTGCATTGGTATAAGCTATGCAATGATAGATTAAATATATGACTTAATAATGATCACTATTTTTTAGCATATAATTAATTGGCTGATTTTCTTCTATAAACAATAGTGATATTAGTTGTGATTTTAGTATATTCTTCATAAACAAATGAGAGTATAGATTTTAGTTATATACTCCGTACAAAAATTAGATGGGACCATTGCTTTAATAACGGTAAATAGTTAGTAGTATAGGGGTATAGTAGGACCAGAGGCGTAGCTAGGGGAGGGCCAATCCTGAGCCCCTGATCCTGGACCGGCCAAACTCTTAAAAATGTCTATATTTTAGTATAAAAAAATTCATGTAAAAAAAATTCAAAAACATTCTTTGTACCGGCCTAGTCCGGCCCAGTGTTCTGGCTCTGCCACAACGTAGGACCTTGTGGTCTTGTAATTTTTTTTAATTTTATTTTGATGAATTGCTTAATAATGATAGATAGTTCGTGATCATAGTTTTTTTGTGTAGTTGAATTGGGTGAATAGTTTTGTTTTCAAATGAACATTATTTGTAATCTGATTGGCTCTGTTTATGTGTGGTCAAATATGATTTGTTTAAGTTTGGCCTTAATCAATAGTTTAAATGTGTGTATGTTAGAATTTTTGCTACTTTTAGTCTTCTACTATTATGTCAATGACCGTTTTGGTATATATATTTCACTTTTATGTTTTCTATTTTTAGTCCTTTTATTATTGCGCGAGGTACAATTTTCATACACGTTTTTTAATTTTCCATATTTAGTGTTGCGACTTTTATGAAAATGACGTTTTTTGTGCTTCAACTTTTGTGCTTCAAGTATTATCATAGAAACAATTTTAGTCTTCACTTATTGCGAAAAAACATATATATCGGAAAGACTAAAAATGTCAAATTGAAAATAACTGGAAGTCGATTACCAAAAATGTCATAGACACAATATTCGGGAACTAAAAGTGGTAAAAAGTAAAATCTCGTGTATTTTAATATATTCAGAGTCTGGTCTAAGCTGATTTTTTTAAATGTACTCGAATCTCATTTGAAACTAAAACCAATCTAATCTAAAAACATTATAAGGTTTCAATCAACTCCATCATGAAATCATTTTTTATATCTTGTATGTTCCAAATCAGAATAAAAGAAGAGAAATGATGTGGTAGGTGTTTTGATGACCAATGGTATTATTTAGTCACCACATTTTCAATAAATTAATCTATGAAGTACAAAAGTAATGTTATCAATTGTAATTGCAGCGATTCTATGTGTTATGTTTTAAGTTAGTTTTTGACTATTGACCAAAGTTCTCAAAAGATACGTATGTATAGTATCTCATGATAAAATTCTCATAGACCATATGTTTTTATAAAGAGAAATGAGATAGTAATTTTTTTCAGTTTATAATATCTTCTTTTTCATTGGAAATTCAAAAGTTTTTCATTTGGTAATGGTTATACACAATAGGATTTCCCACATGTTAATTGTTCTTCCATAGGATTTGCCACATGGCAAATTCTTACTTTACTAAGAGTTTTGCCACATGTCAATTTTTCCTCCAAAGAGCTCTCTAAGGTTCGCTTTATTATATTATACAGATATAAATGTGTTTATCACTAACAAACATGCTTTCATTACAGACACGGGCTTTGCATACTATTCATGGATATGTGGCCGCCTCTCAGTATTCCACGACATATACATCCACATTCCACAACAGGATCTTCCTAGGCACTACGACGTGTTCGAGTGATTCTTCAGCCTCGTAATCAGCGCATATGCCTCTGACCTCAGGCACAAGCACAACCACATGAGCTTTATGATGATGATCACGTTGACTTGTGATATTTGTATTTTACATTATTGTGTTAAACATGAACTAGTTGACCGAATTATTTTTTGAAACATTGGATTTATTATCAATTTTATGTGATATTTCTAGTATTGTGATTCAATGTAGTTCATTGACTCGTTTTGTGTCTCAGATATGTTTTGCTTTTTAGTGCTTTATATTGACTATAAATAGCAGTTGTTTGATGTTTCTGAGTTGATTGTACAGTACTGAGCAGTTTTTTGTTTTTTTTTTTCGGTTGAATAAGCTGGTGTGGTACTATAACAGAAGAGCCGCCACTTCTAGTGGCGGCTTTTGTACTGTAAGAGAAGACCTGCCACCTGAAGTAACGGCTTTCCTTAACCACAGTTAACTCCAGTAGTATTTTGGAATTATTTTTAACCAACATTATTTTGGGAATTATTTATTTAATTAACATTTTTCGGGAAAAACACGTTTTTTCATGAAGTGCCTTGTTATTTCTGAAATTCCCATTTTTGATACTCCATCCGGTTCATAATCTCCTTGACACTTTGACTTCACAAGTTTTAAGAAAATAAATTTGACTTTACTGTAGAGTACACTGTTTGGCACTGTCTGGACACTGTTGGACACTGTTTGGCACTGTTTTATGTAGATTTGTTTGTCAAATAAGGCAAATAAGGAAGTGTAAAGAAGAATGTGGTACTGACAAAAAGGAAAATGTAAAGAACAATGTGAACCGGAGGAAGTAAATTTTAACGTAATCATTCATTTTCATTTTCATATTTTTATAATCTTTTATCTTCAATTAGTCGGCTTTTCTAACATTTTCATATTTTCTTTCATAACTTTTCAAATATCTTTTTGGACTTTTTCTACTCTCCTCATCACTTTTACTTTTTCTTAATCTCCGCAAAAATATATAATTGATAATGGTATATACTACGTATATAATTTATACAATATGGTGAGGCCCTGGTGTTACCGCCTATTCTGGTGAGGCTGAATAATGGAGACAAAGGTCGTCCAGTCTGTCCAGATAACATGCTTTCCAATTCTTCCCACTCCCAACTACAATTCTTCACTGTTTTGGAAAGTTCCACAGACGATTACAAATCCAACTATTCTCAGAATCAAGCCTATTATCGTCCCAGGTAAGCCTAACTCCCATGTTCATTTTAATGCTGCGTTTGCTGTTTACTGACCTTCTAAAGCTACATATCTTCCTTTTTATAACCGTTTGTTTTTTCCATAAATTTGGTGCTTTTAAGTTGTAGTTCCACACAGATGCAAGCCAGTCCAAGAACAGGACTTTGAAGGGCTTCCCAAAGAGTTCTATGATGATGTATGCATTTTTTTTCTCCTTCAGATCCTGCTTCTCCTTTTTCCTTACCAATTTTGAAATTTTAAAATTGGCTGTGAATGCCAATGGTTGAACCTAGCAACCTTAATTAGGCGTTTAGGCAGTTAAACTTGTGGTTTGGTTTTACTGCTTTTAGTGGCAAGGCGATTAAATAATTAGGCATTCCTTTGTGGCGAGGGATTTAAATAAGGATAGTCTTTCTGTCTCGTCATGTATATGTTGAAGATGGGACTAACCTCCTCCCGGTTAGGAATGGCAAGCCAGGCAAAGGGAGAAGAACAAAGAATTGCAGAGGTTGCGAGTTGAGGAAGAAAAAGAGGAGGAAGACAAGGTTGAAGAATACAGGGAAATTGCTTTGCTCTTGAAAGATTGTCCTGCAGAAGATCTCTGCAATGCCAAGAAATTGGTAGCCTCATTTATTAGATCAGCTGAAGAAGTTGAAGAGGTTGCTTTTTATCTTCTTGTTTATGAAGATAAGTTGTTGGTGATACTTTTCAATAGCTTATATGTTTTCTATTTTAATTTGTGCAGAAAATTGAGGAGGCAGCAGTAAAAGGTGAACTAAATGAACTTGTTCTGATGGTAATATGGAGTCGTCTCGATATCGCCAAGCGTGATGTTAGTCTTTCCTACTGCCAAAGTGCTAATTTCATTATTAATATGCATTTGGACTTCTTCTTTTGTTTCTCTTATCTTTGAGGACTGTTGATTTTCCATTCATTTTAGCAGTAGTTTAGCCATCATATTGTTGCCTTCATATCTTATATCTGTCAGTCTTGCTCTCGCACAATGTCTAGGAGAAGAAAGATTGGAGAATGTTCAATTTCATAATTGAACATGGTACGACTTAAATCTAGTTCACGTTTCTGGCTGCTCTTGAGTCTTTTCTATGAACTTAAGTGCATCTTACATCATGACATCATGTGCCTGTTAGTTAATACTAAATTTTGCCGAATCTGTCAAATCCTCTGAATGTTCTGCAGTCATGGTTAAATCTAGTAAATTATGAGATGTTAATTTTAAATTATATTTTAATAATAACTGAAAAAGTTACATCAGAAAAGCTAAACATGTTTCTTTGCAGCCAAGAAACTATCTCCAATCTTTTTTCATTATTAACGATTAGCACCTGAAATTAAAAAATTGGTGTGTTAAAAATGTCTGATGGGGTTGTTAATCCAAAAAATATGTTTACAAAACGGGCACTGTGTATATACTAATCGATATTCTAATGAACTGAACTAACTGGGCTGCTGAAGATATTAAAATGTTTCCTGGTATTGATCTATTGACAAGTTCTACACTTTATTTGCTAATATAGTTAATTGTTATTCTAATTGTAACTGAAAGATATATCCTTGGAGATTCTTATGAAATATGAATCCATTCCCGGCCTGTGTTTTTTGTCATCTCACATCTCTGCATGGGAGTACAACCATTCTCTAAATAAGATGCTATTGGGCTGAGTTTTTATTGTTGTCAAATCTTCAGGATGAGAAGGATGCTATTCGAAGTCTTGATCTCTTATACAGGCGGGTCGAGGTTTGGTCCATAGTTGTTTTGTAATTACTGTTGTTGATGAGAATGTTCAGCCTGTTTCATGTAGTCAAATTTTCATCACCAGATATATCCTTTCTTTCTCTTCCAGATGGAAATTCTGAAAAGCGAGGCAACTGCCGCCATGAGACTGCTCAATGATCTTCTGAATCTGCATGGTGGATATGACGATGAAGGGTGGCTGAAGGCATGTAGAAAAGTTATGGTCAATACATTCCCATGCGAGGAAGATCCATTCAGTATTCTTCTGCCTGCAGGATTCGACATGGAGAGTGTATGTAGCCATCTTAAAATATTTTTCCCTTTACATATGGTCCTGTATTGTTTGAAATAATATTGTAATGGCTGCAACGCATCATGAATGTGAATTCATTTTTAAGTATGGGTGCAAAGTAAGGGTTGACCCGGTTCAGGAACTGACCCAGACTAGCACAATAGGACTGACTGGTATTTTGCCCGTAGACGAATCGGTTTTCTGGATCTCAGCTGATCCAAACCAGTTCAGGTCCCTCCACAATACGTTTGGATCGGTTGTTATTTCACTTTTAATAGGCTAATAAACTGGTCTGAAACCGTCCTTAGAGCCAGACCGCAACCCAACTGAGAACTGGAATTGGTTATGAAAACCGGTCCAAACCGGTTCAGGTTCATCCAAAAAAGGACCCGAGTTGTTGTGCTTCCGTTTTTTGATTGGCCATGAAACTGGTTAGGAGCCGACCCAAAACCGGAGCCTTAACCGCAACCTGTCTGGGTAGACGCAGTTAGACTGTTACAGTTTTGCCAGATTGGAGTTGCACCGGGTCCACCCCTAAATTTTCAATAACTTTGCTGTTTTGTGCTGTGTCTCAGCTCCACGGTCCAGTCAGACCACCCGTAGATGCTGATGACGTACTTCTTAGAGTAGATTTTGTCAGAGAGGTTGATGCACTGCTACAAGAGGTTCGAGAAGAACAAAGGAAAGCAGTGAATACAAAAGATCTTGATCCCGAAACCGTCGCAATTCGGCTGAAGCAACAGGAGAAACAAAGAGCCATTCACCAAGTGGAAGCACTTTTAGATCTTGCCATTAATTTGAAGTGGTAGAAAATCAAGAACCACCACATGCTGCCTGTGAATCCTTACCACTTCTCTATGTTGAGTCTATGTAGTATATCAAAGTATGGGTGAAGGGGGACGTTCTATGCTCAACAGCATTACATGCTTAGGTCACACCTTGTCATTTTTATCATACCCCCTGAAGTCCATGTATCTCCTGAATAGTTGGAAAAAGTAGAGTAATGGTTCTCACGAGAGAACCAAAATCATCTTATTCTTTATAAATTATATCTGGTGCATTGTGTTGTGTCTGGCTGCTGAAGTGGATGAAGTAATGTAGAAGAACGCATTGTGCTGTCTTCTTCAGGTAAGGAGTTGCAGTATATCTTACAGCAGAACCCCTTTCTCGATACACTTTACCTACCTTAATATTTGCATAACTTTTCAGTTTTTACTGCTATTTTGACAATTTATTTTTAATTTTCCAATAGAAATTCAAAACAGAAACCATAGATAATTTGTAGTTTGCGTAAAATATAAAGGATAGATAAAATTTTGGATAAAGGATAAAAGATGGCCAGATTTTGTAATTTGGAAGTGACCAAATTTTAATTAAGGCTTGAGTTTTCATTGTATGAGGACTAACTCAAGATCTTATAGGTTCGTTTGTTGTTTTTTATTTATTCAATGTGGAACCGTAGGTGGGAGCCTTTGCGGCACTGGGGTACCGTTGTTGTATTCGATGTGGGACAAACTCTTCATCATCTTCAAACTTGTTACGAAGGGGGAAAAATCTCTAAGTTTAAAGAGATTGACACTAAACTAGCAATCTCAATTCTTAATCTACTTCTCAATCTTATTTATCTTTGCTTAATTAGTGGTAAGTAGATTTTTATGAATTAACAGATCAAGTTGAATGAAAAGCATGATGTATCTGCCAAAAGTTAGCTTTATCACTTTCCCAGGCCTTACAGTACTCTATATCTCTCCCAGATGCTCTCTTGGTGGCTACTAGTGGATCATTCTCGTCGTCATCAATGGCTACCGGTCGCTCAAACTCAACACCCTTGAGAACAGGGTGCACATCAGCATTCCCAAGATAAACTTTCAGGCTCAGGTTGGGTTCTGTTGCCTTTTCCACTGTATCCTTCACCATTGCTTCCTGAGAATCACACAATCAACCATCAAAGAAATGTATTTTAGATGATGAGCAAGTGCTATATTTCTTCCGGAATTCAAGATAGATTTGCTAAACCTGCAATGGGAACTTTACAAACACAGATTCAAACCGCTCCTTGCAGAATTTATGAAACCAGATTGTTAGAACTAGGAGAACAAGGATGAGTGGGGTTGATTTGGCTGCATTTTTTGTGCTCATCAGTCCCATCAGTTGGACCTGGGAAATGACGAGACCAATGACTATACGACGATGAACATCTGGCCAGAATGCAGCCCCACTCTCATACTTCTGGTTGTACACATTGATGATCTGGCAACAATAAAAGAAGAAACCATAGGCATAAATTTATAATAATAGTTTCTCGATATATCTGTCTTTTGAGAAGCATAGAATTTTGAGCGCACCTGATGGCGGAAAATCATGTATGCAAATGCAAAGAAGACAATTATGAAAGGGAGAAGTATAGGTGTGATAACAGCATATACTAATCCAAGTAAGAAATAAAGCTGTATACGAGGTTCTGATGTAGAAAACACTATAGAACCAGGATTCATAGCCTCCTTCCTCTCCCTTTCTGTCTTCACCAAGAATGCATCCTTAGTGTGAAACTTCACTAATGAAGATAGTCTAAGAACCTCTGCTGCAACGCCTGCCCAACCATCAACCATTATGTAGCTGATAAAGAATGTGGCTTTTATTGGAATTGCTACCCCTATAGTCTTCGGAATGCTGCAATAGAATTTTGTAGCCAAGGTAATTAAGATTTCATGGCTTCATGCTACATACTAAGTGCCCATATTGTAACCTTGTTTTTTGTCCTATCAGCCTTATTGTTTGCTTTTTTTACGAATCGAGTTTTTATTTTATTCTATGCCCTGACTTGGTTAATAATGAAAAGAGGTGGTACCTCCGTCCCAAAATAAAAGTTACAAAACTTTTGGCCACATAAATTAAGAAAGTGGGATAAAGAATCTAAACTACTTCCCCCTTTTACTGTCGCATCAAAATGTTCAGTAAGTTTGTAATGACTAAGTTGGAGATTTAAGTAAAAGGGAGGTAAAGTATGAATTGTGTGTAGGATCATTTGCCAAAAAAATAAAACTTAAACTTTATTTGGGACAACCCCAAAGGGAAATATGTAACTTATATGTAGGCATTCTTTAGGCAATATTAATCTTACCATACAGACTCTTGTTGTAAGTTTTGGTCTCTGTTCTGTAATTAAATCAGGATTGGACACTGACCAATTCAGGCCCCTCTAGATAAAAATTGGACCGAGTTATACCGGTCCTGTTCCAGGTCGGGTATAACTTACAGTTTCAGGTCCAGTTTAGAACCGGGCCGGGCCCACCCCTAAGCTTAAACAAGTTGAAGTAGCAGCAATTTTATTGGTATGCTGTGTTTGAGGAAAAAAGTCCTACTCTGCTGCTGTTTGATTAAGGAACTTGTGAAGTTGTTCAAATGCAGTTCCTGTGATGATACTTCCAAGGAAGACATTGACAAGAAGAAACAAATGATATTTTGCAGCAGAACTTCTCTCCAAAGATGAAAGTGATGTCAGACCTTCTATTTTGCCCATGCTCATAAGGAGTTTAGGGTTGTTAGCCAGAAACAGCTTCAATGAAATTCCAGGAAGAAACCCTTGAATGAAAGACTTGATGAAATCCCTGCCATAACATAATTTTCAGCTATGTTTGAAGAAATCTTCCTAGCTTTCCTTAAACTCAAGAAACCACTCACTTTTCTATCAATGGCTTTAAGAAAGGAAAAACTTTTTCGATGCCTTGAATGCTTGCGAGAGACTGAACGAATGCAGTGGGAATCATAAAAAAGAAAGTAAGAAAGAAAAAGGCAACCGCCATGAGTAGCCTTCGGATTTTGAGTTCGGCGTATGGTATGGAAAGATTACTCCAAAAGATATCACGTGGTTCAGGTGCCCATTCTGTCATCCAAATGGTGGGATTACTTGATTGTTGGGTTTGAGCACAGACTGCTGCTCCCCATCTAGATTTAAATGAAACAAAAGCAGCTGGAACTATTGCCTTGGGATCACTTAAGATCTTCTCTTTCTCTTTAGCTTCCTAAGTCAAAGAATATAACCTATTATTACGATAGCATATAAGATGGAGGCCCAACAGAAAGACACATTGCTCTAGCATATATACAATAATGGTGTAGCATGGTTTATGCAAATAATTCATGTTAAGATCTTCATGTTTCATGAGGTGCGTTCCAAATAGCTACATTGTAATAAGAATGACTTGCAACTTTTTTTTCACTCTCTTTATTATGTTCAATGCTTTCAGAATTTCATTTCATTATAGTGATGACAGCGGTAATGACGAACATGCAAATTAAATAGGAATCATATAAATAATTTATGGAGTTATTTAAGGCACTTACCATTTCCTCCAAATATTTGATTTCAGCTGTGTAATAGTCGATGGGGTTGACTGTTTCCCCCCATAGTCCCCAAAATCCTGTCTATACATGAAGAAAGATTAGATTATGTAATAGACATGCAAATTAATAGAACTTTAGATTGGTTTGAGATCGTCCACTTGAGCAGTAAGGTACTCAAAGTCAAACCACACTAAAGAATTGAACTCAACCTATTAAGACATGTTTAGTCCAAGGTCCTATTAACTCATTTTCTAATATTTATTTCTTCAATGTGTGACTCTCAACACAAAATGAAATGTTAGCAGATATTCAAATTCGTTTTGGGAAAAAAGATACCTTTATTTTGCTTTTCTCGGTAAGATTCCTGTCACACTTTGTCTGATAGTAAATGAGCCAATTTTGCAATTTCTTCTTCTTCTCCACAATCTTTGCTAGCTTGTTAGTATTGTATACAACCTAAAACTTCAACAGCTTTCGTTATGGTCACATAGGACATTGAATTGAAGGAAATGGCACAGTATAACTGATGAGTATGATTAGCAGCTTTGTATAAAAGAGAACACTTCAGCAAGTGACAGACCTGGTGTAGAAGGTAAGTATCTGGATGGTTTACACAAAAGAAATGCTCAATGTGCTCGCTGATTGATTCATCGGTGTCTTGGTGGACGTTTCTCACAAGGACCTTTAAGATGAAGTCAAATGGTAAACAGACTGGAAAAATAAAAACGGAATCCATAAACTTTTACACCATGAACCACTAACAGCGAACTGATCAGGACGGCGCTTTTCTGATGCAAGAAACTGCAGCCTCATGTTAGATACAATTTCATACTCTTTATATAGAACATATAAGGTCCAAAATGAGAATACATATGCCATTGCTATGTGTGCCCATAACCTGGAAATTGGAATAAACAGCAATTAAGAGGAGTGAGAATAGGTTTCTGTTTTTTATTGTATCCTCAATGAGGGCATTATTCCATTGGCAATGCTAAGTGAAAAAATGCCTCCATATTTTGCGCACAGAAGAAGAATATGTTATCAAGGACAGAGCCAGGACTTTGTTTTTATTTTTTACTACCTTTGTCCCATTAAACATAGCCAACTTTCCTACTTTTCTTTTGCAGTAATTTGATTTATAAAACTTTGCTACTTTTCTTTTACATTAATTAATTGTGGTTAATATTATTTCTCTCCTTTGCATAACATTTACTTATATTCTGTAAAAGATGGCAATGTTCAAGGCAAGGGAGTACTATTTATAGATCTATATTTCTGGGTAGCCAAGCTGAAATTCTTATTAAAACTTTATAGGAGTCTGCTGTTGAAGAAATATGCCTTCTACAAAAATATACTGTCTGCAAATCCTATAAAAGGGAAAATAACATAAATGGGAAAAATAATGCTTACTTTGGTGATCCAGATGGAACATTCGATATTGACAGTTTATCAATCTCACTGAATGTTAAGTCCTCAACATTTTGCAGTGACCCACCATTCCAATTAACAGGAATTAAGATGGAAAAGGCAAGAAATGCAATGGGTACAAATATTTTCAATCTGCATTTCAGTTTTTGAATGAAATTAGATGGTCTGCATATAAAACCGTTTAAATTGGGGAAAAGACTTGGTAACCAATTGGGAAAACCCAGTTATGTGTTTTTTAAAATCTTTTTTAGTTACAATTAAACTCATCATTGTTAGAAAAACTATATACTACGTTTGTTTTTTACATCTGTTAAAATCTCATGTTGGAAACTGAAGAGAGAATGATGGGTTAATAAGACATTGAGTTGAACTAGCAAGGAGATTGAATTCATTCTTCTAGTTTGATTATAAATCAGTTGATTGACCTCAACTAATCTTAAATTTTATTAACTTCCATGTCCCTTAAAAGAAGACTTGACCATTCAGCTATTAACACTCACCCAAGAAGGTAAATTCGTATATACACAGTGGAGTCAAGACCTGCATGATCTATGAGTTCAGGCTGTGGCATATTCAATGCTGCAGGAATCCAATTCAAGAGCTTTAAGTATGTTTTGAAATCCAAGTTGACAAACTTCTGGACTAAAGGTCCAGAACTTGTTGGGCTTTCTCTTATACCCTTCATGTACCACTTTGGGAAGTATACCCTATCATTAACTGGTTGAAGTCTTAGAATTGCAAATGCCAAAAGAAATGTCAGTGCAGAAAAAAGGTTGATTCCTGCTGAAACAAGAATGTCCTCAACACTTGCCATATTTGCCCCAAAGATGTTTCACCTGTCAACTTTTGCAGGAATAAATTGTATCAGTTTCATATTCCATTCTTGATCTCAGTAACATTGTTCAGGTGATGTAGTCTACTCTTGTAGGGCTATTTACCTTATTATTACTACTACTTTTGTAGCAGTACTCTCGTAATAGTATTTGTACTCCGTATTACATTGATGGATATAATTATCCCATGAAGGAAGCGATGAGGCAAATAGTTTGGACAGACCGAAGGCTAAAGTGCTAAACTAGTCAGGATTTGGTGGGAGAAGCCCAACTATGGAGGGAAGGACTATCACACAATTGTTTATCATTAACAGTTAATTCTTGTAATGTTTAGTTTTAATGATTCGTGAAATGATGTAGTGGAGGGTGCCACCGTTGGAATGCTCGTGTATGTCCGGCGACCAATCGAGTTGAGGACAATTTTTGGCATATTTTCTGAATACCAATGGCCAATTCGCCATTCTTGCTCCGGTCATTTGCTTGTTATTTTGTTTAATTCTCGCTTTCTTTTTCTTTTTATCCAATTGCTGGGGTTTGATGCTGAGTTCTCCCTTAAAACTCAATAATATGTTAGGTAATGTTGGAGGCAAATTATATTATTTGCACCTCATGTTTATTCCAATATTCGATTTTGCATCTCATATTTTAATGCAAGAACGCCCTAAAATGCATTATTTATACAGGACTTGGCATCTCATGATTTTATTTTATATTTGAGTTTGCAACATAGGATGCAAATACACATGTTAGTGATCAAATTTCGTCTGCTCTTATGATTCAATGCTAACCTGTGAATAAAAAACAAAATACTGATGGATCATCAAATGCAGCTTTGTCCAAACACTGCCTTCCCAGAAAGTTATTCTGTTTTCCCTTTCCGGCTAGCCAGCTCTCTATCCAGCTAGCCAGATAGGAAAAACAGTTACCCTGCCGGAAAACCAAGAATGCCGCCCTTTGACAGCCCGGAAAATTGGAAAAGAGAGAAACCAGAAGGGCTAAAAAGAGGAGGAGGCCTCTTCACCTTCCCCTCTTTTTTTCTTTTTCTTTTCTGACCACAATACTGGACAAATAATAAAATCCACTGGTTTTTATTTTAGCGTTCACAAAATAGCCCACATCTAGCAACTGCGCTAATTTCGCTTCATAAACTAATAGAAAGCTGAGAAAGCCTTAACCACAAATTCTCAACCAATATCTTAGCACCATTTCAATAAAACATGCAATACCCATCTGGATGTAGTCAAATTTTGACTCCCACAAAGAAAAATTACTACTCAATTTCATTTAACTTTCCATTTCCTATAAAAATAAAACATGAAGTTCCATCTTCCATTTCCAAACTCTATAACTGATTACCACATTTATTTGATAACTTTTGGGTTTGGGATCTTGTATTGAGTTTACCTTTCTGAGATCGCCAGAAATGACTGATTAGAGGGGCTGAGGCTTAAAAAATTATATTAGGGGGTCAAAGGCTCAAAGCTTAAAATTTTACTATATTGTTTTTACTTTTTATAAATATTTATAGGGAAAAGGTACAAATAGTAGTATGGGTGTAAGAACAAAATAAACAATTATACTCCTGTTTTATTTTTCGGAACAAATATACTCCTGAAGTATATGTGGAAGTGCATATATACTCTTGAATTTTTAAAAAGTGCAAAATACCCTTCATGTTCTTATCAAAGAGCAAATTTACCCTTATTGACTTTAAGAGCCCGTTTGGTAACACGAAAATCGGCTGATTTGGTTGATTCTGCTGAAATTTATGAAGTTCTGGCTGAAGTGGCTGATTCTGCTGATTTAAGAAAAAAATATTTTTAAAATATATTTTATTAATAAAATAAAGAAAAAATATATTTAAAAATAGCTAAAATGGTCATTTACAGTAACTTCAACCAATACAACCAGAAAAGTAACTCAACCTTACTTTTTCTGCTTTTTACACAATTCAGCGTGCGGAAGCAAAAGTTACGTGTTTGGTGAAAAAGTTTGCTGATAAGCCTGATAAGCCAAAAAACAGTGTTGCCAAACGGCCTCTTAAATTGATAAAATAAATTTCAAAAAACACCAAAAATATAAAAATCGACCTAACTGCATGTGTACAACATGATATCATTCAGCACGAATAAATATTACTTTGTACGTGGTATAATTTTGCCATTTGTACATCTTATATAAAGGTCAAATTGTTATCCCTTTTATCCCACTTCTCACATCTCAACATTCCTACATTTCTCTCCCCCACTTCTCTCCCACCATTAGGGGTGGGCACGATTCCGGACGGTTCGGGATTTGACTTATCCCGATCCCGTCCTGGTTTTATAATAACGGTCCGGTACGGTACGGTACGGTACGAGATAAGTCTTTATCCCAATGTTGTCCCATTTAAAACAGGACCGGGACAACCAGAGAAAAACCGGGACGGTTCGGGATGCCCATAAAAAATATGCATTTGTGAAATGTGATATAGAAATAAGCATAACATCAAAATAAAGACGTAACTGCTTTTGCAAATTTAGCATCCCTAAAAAGTTAAGTAAAACCTTTAATTAACTATTTTTAATTTTTGCCTTATAATTTTTTTGGTCCCCTAATCTTGTGTTCCCCCCTATATATATATATATATATATATATATATATGTATGTATGTATGTATGTATATATATCCACATACATACATACATACATACATACATACATACATACATACATACATACATACATACATACATACATACATACATACATACACGTAGTATGTTCTAGTAGTTATTTTGGAAAATAATAAATCTATAACAACATTATAATTTGGAGTAATAGTTCTTCCATCATAAATAATATTCCGCACGTAATAATATACTATGAATTAGTATTGGAATGAGAACTAAACAAATTTTAATCAAAAGAAATAAAAGAAACGAGACTAAGAGAGACATGAAATAAGATAAAATTACACTAGGGAGACTAAGGACTAGAATATTTTAATTGGGTTTGGCTATTACACAACACTAGAAATTTAAAATAACATATTAATTTCAAACGGGACACCGGGACGGGACATGATATTTTATAGCTATCCCGGTCCCGTCCCGGTTAATATCGGTGCGGGACCGGTTCGGGATGAAATATTTGCGTCCTAAATGGATCGGGATAGTTTCAGAACGGTACCGGGATTTTTCAGTTTGGGACACCGGGACCGGGATTTTTGCTCACCCCTACCCACCATAAGGTTCTTCTCTCTATAATTTATTTTTCCTATTTTTCTCTTCATCTTCTTGTCAGATTAATGGACTCATACTACATGTAATATTCATAATATATTATTTATTGTGTTTAAAAATATGTTACATAGTATATGCTATCTTATGTTTAGACTCAAAATTATATGGATATTAATTTAAGTGGGCTAATATGTTGTCTTATAAGGTATACTACCTCCGTCCCCCTAAGTTTGGGACAAGATAATGTGACACGGTTTATTAATAAAAGTGGGTTTATGTGCTTGATATTGAATTGATAAAGTAAGAATAAAGTAGGAATGATTTAGAACCACATAAACTTTACCAAATAAGGTATGAGACAATCTTAGTGGGACGGACCGAAATAGTAAAATGGGACAATCATAGCGGGACGGAGGGAGTATGACTTAACCTAATTAATGATGGGCCGTTTAGCTAGGGTTAAACACTCTCTATAAATAAAGGGGTTATGGTCCCTAGTTGAACACTTCATTCTATCTTTCTGCATTTCATCGCTAGAGAGATAATTCTCGAGGGTGTGTATCAACCATAGATGCAAACCCAAGCCTCTGTCTCCCGGATCTATAAAGATCATCTCCAATGGAGTTAAGTATGCTTCCGTTCAACTATTTCCCTATATTATTCCAATATGAAGATTAACGGTCTGTTTGGATTGAGTGTTAGGGAGTGTTAGTAATGAAAGTGTTAGTAAGTGTTGATACTAACACTTGTTTGGGAGAAAAATTAAGAGATGTTAAGAAGTGTTAGTAAAGGTTAGGAAGTGTTAATAATAACCTTCCCCAACACCTCAATTGTCCACTTTTTTAACACCCCGATTTGGAGTGTTTTGAGATGTTGGACAATTATTACCCTTCTCATTTACCCTAAAAACATAAAATGCTTCAACATCTCACTTCGAATCTATTTCCCACAGGCCTGGTCTGCCTTTTTCATCTCTTCTCCTTACTCATTTCTTCTGTCTTAAGGTAAAATTATTAACACTTCATTCATTTGACTCTCCTAAACAAGGTAAAATTATGTCTAACGCACTTACACTTCCCTTCCGGGCCCTTACTAACACTTACTAACACTTCTATTAATAACACTTCCAAACACTCCATCCAAACATGCCCTAAAGTACTATCAAATTTATTCCTGCACTTCTTTATCTACATATTTATTATCTTTCAAGACCGGAAAAACAATCACAGTTTCAGAGTTTCCGAAAAGTCAACGAAATTGGAGATGAATAGTCCCTGGAGTTATTGTTTGTGTCGTCCTAAATATTGATATCAATTGTCTATAAGAAAATATAAATTGAAAACGAAGTAAAATTTTGTCTATAAGAAAATATAAATTCAAAACGAAGTAATTTTTTTATTTATCAATATTCACTTTAATATCTATAAATAAATAAATTCAAACCAATGCCTGTGCACAAACAATTTTGTCTTTGGACAAACATTTTTATATGTTGCAAACAATTAATATATAACCACAAACAACTAATGTTTGTGCACATACTATCAAATGTTAATTGAAACACGAAATAATATTTTGTAAATCATTGTTATTGATCGTGAGTGGGTTTGGAGTCTACCGCCCCAATTTATAGAGCATAGTTACATTTGTAAATGGTACGGTATGTTTATCACTACGTAAATGGCAAGAATATTTTACAAAGGCAGGTACAGTACCCCATTTTTTGCAGTTGAATTAATTAAGTCTAAATTAAAAAATATATGCCTATTTGGACCAATCAAGTGAATGGTAGGTATGGTACTCCATTTTTAAATAGGTACCGAAGTTCTCACCTTGCATTTTAATATTGTTATATTTCAGTTTGTTTTTTGTGTTGGACTCTTAGTTGTTTCGGTGAATTATGCTTATGGGGTGGGTAGGTATTTTTCGCGAAGAAGTAAGATGGCTTCAAAAGCCGAGATAATCTTCAAATCTATCGGATGGTAAATTTTGTAGCAGGAGGTTGGCCAGTATTGAAAAGTTTGAAAGGTCGTTGGTTCTTGGTTTCTAATATAATCAGTCAGTTTCCTTTAAAAAAACACTACAACTGTTCAAAGTTAAAGAAGTCGGTGCTGCACTGCTGCAGCGCATCCTTGTTTTGTGTTCATTAGTGTTATGGGCAGTAAGCACGTGTAAAATTATAGTCCAAAAATACATCCTTAACACCCCCTCAAGATGGTGCAGAGGGTGGTCGTTGATGGTAAGATTTGAGGATGATGGCTAGTTGTTGGGTGGTTCAGGGATAATCACGACGGCGAACGGCCCGGTGGTCGTCCAGTTTCCATCGTCGTGAAGAAGATGATACCTGCAACAGAGTAAATACACACACGCACACCTAAAAACTTAAGGAAGAAGAATGCATAAGAAGATGAGTGACGATGGACTTCCGAGT